CGCGCGCCGGCCCAGGTGGCTGCCGGTAGCCCCGCCTTCCCTCCGGATGGGAGAAACCATCTCCTCCGGCGGGGGGAGGGGCGGGGCCGGTACCCTCCCACACCGGAAGAGGAAGTCGAAAGCGCGCCGGAAGTGGCGGGCATTGTGGGTAGTGAGCTGTTTACTTCCTGCGGGCGAGGGAGCAGAGGGAGTATTCCTCGCCGTTGTTCTTCCTGTCGGAGAAGATGGCCTTGGAGACGGTGCCGAAGGACCTGCGGCATCTGCGCGCCTGTTTGCTGTGTTCACTGGTCAAGGTGTCCGTCGAGGACCTGGCTGTAGGGGCAGTGGGGGATCAAGGTGGGGGGAAAGAGGGTGGAACAGAGCCGGAGGACAGTCGAGAGAAAAGGAAGGCCCAGGACTCCGAGAGGTGGCAGGCGGAGTGGGAAGCCGAAGGGAGCCATCGTTCGCTTACGTGGTAGGAATATGCGGGCAAGTCTTGTAGCTGAGGGCTCGGGCTGTGTTACATGCCTTGGAATCCTCAGCTCTGAACAGACGTCCGGTGAATTTATGTTGGAGCTGAAGGACTCTGGGAGTCAGAAGAAGGTGGGAATCCGCAGCCGAGAGAGTAGGCGGAGAGGATGCCTGCCCTAAGGAGACAGAGAAAAGGAATAGATAGAACGGAACTGAGAACAAGACAGGAAGGAGTGTGAGGGTGAAATTTTGAGTGGAACTTTGGGAGTAGGAGGTGGGGGACCTGATGAGACAAAGCCAACATAGGGAACCAAGAATTGACCAGGTCGAAGTAGTGAGAAAGCCACTTTTTCTTTTGGCCTTATTCATGCTTTTCTCTCCTTTTCCTTTATATATTTGTTTCCACTCCCAGACCATAGACCAGTTTGAATATGATGGTTGTGACAATTGTGATGCATACCTACAGATGAAGGGTAACCGAGAGATGGTTTATGACTGCACCAGCTCTTCCTTTGATGGGTAAGCCCCTTAAGCTTTCATCATTCACTTCTACATCACCCCACCCCCACCCCAAGAAGTAAATGGACAGGCTTTTAAGATCACAATCCTAGTTGGTCTCAACAGCTATTTTGAGGCGTAAGTAGCCACTAGCCACATGTAACTATTGCTGTCTTGAAACGTGGCTAGTCCAAATTAGGATATGCTTTAAGTGTAAAATATACACTAGCTTTCAGAGACTTGGCATGAGGAAAAAGAATGTAAAATATCTTTTTTTTTTTTTGGTATTAAGTACATTTTGAAATGATAACGTTTGGATTTGGGGGATTGAGTGAAATGTTGAAATTAATTTAATCTTTTTGTCTTGACTCTTTTAAACATGGCTGCTAGAAGATTTAAAATGATGTGTGCTTTTATTGTATTTCTGCCGAACACTGCTTTTCTAGACTGTCAGTTCATTGATGGTAGAGACTGTGTTTATCTTATACATCACTACCTGGCACAGGGCCTAGAAGGTGGTAGGTACTTAATACTTACTATGTTTTGAAGATCTTTTTTGAAAATTAAGGGAAGGGAAGGTACAGTAATGGTACAATATTGCCACAAAGCTGATACTTTTAGGTATCTTTAAGGAGCCCTATTGGAGAAATTTTCCTTGGCAAGATGGTCCATTAGGGAGAATGGGAAAAGAGAGAGACTTAAGTGGCCAGGTCTCACTGGTCCTTCCCCAAGGTAGGAGCCAGAGGACAGTATTCTTTAAGAGTTAAAGGAGTACCATTAAGTTTCTTTAGGCCTGTAGGTCAATTAAGAGGTCACATACAAACTGAGCTCAAACCCAGTACTTGCGAAAGTTCTTTCAGAGTGGGCCAGCCCCATTCCTTCTTTGATTTCCTTTATGGAAGAATAAAGGATTGGGCATAAAAGATACTGACTTGGAACCTGTACTCCCTACAAATGTAGTGCATGCTTAGATACTGTTCATTTTTAGCATGCCATTCAGTGCTAACAAATAAATGGACTCCCATCTGTGGAACTAGCTATGGGGAGAAGTAGCAGCTGTGAGAGATGTCAAGAGTTACACAGTGAAATACATGCTAGTAAGAGAGACTCAGTGTGATGTTTTGCTTATTAGAGGTTTTTTTTTTTAATTGTAAAATTTATGCAACAAAAAATTTACCATTTTAACCATTTTTAAGTGTACAGCTCAGTAGCATTAATGCATTCACATTGTGCAGCCATCACCACCATGCAGCTCCAGGAAGTTTTTCATTTGTTCCTAGTAAACACTAATTACCCATTCTTCCCTCTTCCCAACTCTGACAACCACCGTTCTTAATATGTAACATTTTATGTCTGGCTTCTTTCACTTAGCATAATATCTTCAGGTTTCTTCCATGCTGCGGCATGTGTCAGGTTTTTTTTCCTTTTTTGAGCTGAATAATAATTATTGTATGTACATATATGCCATATTTTGTTTTATCTGTTCATCTGTTGATGGTCACTTAGGTTGCTTCCACCTTTTGGCTATTGTGAATAATACTGCTATGAAATGGGTGTACAAATGTCTGTTCAAGTCCCTGCTTTCAAATCTTTTTTTTTTTTTTTTGAGTCAGAGTCTCATTCTGTTGCCCAGGCTGGATTGCAGTGGCACGCTCATGGCCACCCTAGCATTGACCTACTAGGCTCAGGCAATCCTTCCGCCTCAGCTTTCCAAGTAGCTGGAACCACAGGTGCATACTACTACACCCAGCTAATATTTTTTTTTTTGATATATTGTAGAGACGAGTTCTCACGAAGTTTCTCTGGCTGGTCTCAAACCCCCAGTTCAGGCTATCCTCTGGCCTCAGCCTCCCAAAGTACTGGGATTACAGGCTTGAGCCACCATGCCAGGCCAGCTTTCAGTTCTTTTGGGTATAGAAATGCTCCGTAACTTTTGATGATGGGGTTACAGCCTAATAAACCCATTGTAAGTTGAAAGCATTATAAGTCAAAATGCATTTTTTTTTTTTTGAGTTGGCGTCTCACTCTGTCGCCCAGACTGGAGTGCAGTGGCCTCTCCCGGCCACCACAGCCTCGACCTGCTGGGTTCTGGCAATCCTTCCGCCTCAGCCTTCCGAGTAGCCGGAATTACAGGCGCGCGCTACCACACCCGGCTAATTTTTTGATTTATTGTAGAGATGAGGTCTCGCCTGCCCAGGCGGGTCTCGAACCCACGGGCTCAGGCAGTCCCCTCACCTCAGCCTCCCAAAGGTACAGGATTACAGGCTGAGCCACCGATCCTGGCCAAAATGCATTTAATATACCTAAACTGTTGCACATCATAGCTCAGCCTAGCCTACCTTAAATGTGCTCAGGACACTTATGTTGAAGTGGCTTACTGGGAGCTGTGGCTGGCTGCCACTGCCTAGTATCAAGAGAAGGTCACTAGTCTGGGAAAAGATACAAATTTGACAACAGTTTTTATTGAATGTGTATTGATTTTGCACCATTGTAAAGTTGAAAAATTATAAATCGGACCACTGTAAGTCAAGGACAGTCTGAATATCCAGAAGTAGAATTGTATATGCAGAATTGTCATGTGGTATTTCTTGTGGTAATTCAATGTTTAATTTTTTTGAACAACTTCTATACTGTTTTCCATAGTGGCTGTGCCATTTTTCATTCTTACCAAAAGTGCTCCAAGGTTCTAGTTTCTCTCCATCCTTGCCAACACTTGTTATTTGTTTATAATAGCCATCCTAATGGGTATGAATTGGTATCTCCTTGTAGTTTTGATTTGGATTTCCCTAATGATTAGTGATGTTGAGCACCTTCTTGTGTGCTTATTATCCATTTGTATACGTTTGAAGAAATGTCTGTTCAACTCCTTTGCCCCTTTTTGAATCTGATTGTTTGGGTTTTTATTGCTGAGTTGTAAAAATTGTTTGTATATCCTAGTGCACATTAGGCCTTAAAGAGTGGGCAAGTCAAGAGGCGGGCTAGATGAACTCAGCCAGAAGTAGAGGAGGTAGTACTTTCCTCTTAAGGAAAGAAGTATGGGATTTTTGAGGAAGTTTAGGTGAGACAGAGGTAGGTATAAAGAACATAGCAAATAAAGCAGTGACTGGAACAGAGGCAGGGGTAGGAAAAGCCAGGGTATGTTTGGAGAATGGTGGGGAGCCTGTTTAGGTTAAATCATAATGTTTGGTTACAAGGACTCTAAGGCTAGAAGATAGATTGTAACAGAGGATTATATACTTGTGACCGGGAAGATAGCCTGTATATCAGTCTGCAGGGCCAGTGGGCTAGTGTTTTCCTACTTGTCACCCCTGGAGGCAGGATCAGTTCCACTTAAAGCACATGGCTGAGAATGTAGGATTTGTAGGGGAAGGGAATATCCCCAAATAAGAATCCAAAATTTTTGCCAAGAGAAGAGGGAGTGTATATTGAGGAGGAAATCAGCAGATGTCAGTGCCTAGAACAGACCTGGCACTACAGGCAATCGGGAAGCATTTGATTGAATACATGAATGACAAAAATGACCCTTAAGCTTATCCATCTTGCTTAAGCATTGTCTTCTAGCCCTTGAATAGCCTTTCTGTTACTGGTTTTCTGTAATGAGAGCCACTCACACAGGACTGTTAAGATAATAAAGACAGCACATGCTTGCTTAGCACCTACCATGTCCTAGTCTCTGAACTAGGTGTTCTCATGCACTGTCTCAACCTTTGAGTCTCACCTTGCAGAAGTTCTGCGAGAGGTCCCCATATGTACTTCAGGCTGCACAGCTCTGTGGATGAAAAACTTGGCCAAATCTAACTCACTTTTGATAGGAAGACCCATCACTCTGACTCACCCTCTACTTTGTACTAGACCCCATCCCTCTAGTGATTGTGTTAGTTGTAACCAGTGGTAATGACCCTCCAGTGCTAAAGCTGTCCCATTTCCTTAGGATTCTGTATGCTAAGGATATTTTTGAGCCAGGTGAGAATCTTTGGGGCATGGTGACTAACCTGTGACTGGCAGGCCAGGGACAAAAACTGAAGGATTTTTGTCTGTACTAGCTAGTAGCTTTGAGTCAGCTCCATATCAGCATTAGACCTGAGTTTTCCCTGCTTTCCAGTGGAGACTCAGAACGTTGCCTTTTCCTAGGTTTCCCCCCAAAACTGTTTTCTGACTGAGCTGCTCCCTCGGTCTCATCTAGCAGGGGAGGCTCAGGCTGGCTCTCCATGTCTCTTCCTTCCCTAGAATCATTGCGATGATGAGTCCAGAGGACAGCTGGGTCTCCAAGTGGCAGCGAGTCAGTAAGTGTCTCCTTTTCTCCTCTTGGCTTAGTTGGGGTGTTATTATCCTCCCTCAGGTCCAGTGGAGAAGTCTCTTTTTCTTCTTTTTGAGTCGGAGTCTCACTGTCACCCAGCCTGGAGTGCCGTGGCCCACTCATGGCCACCACAGCCTCAACCTGCTGGGCTCAGACGATTCTTCCGCCTCAGCCTTCCAAATAACTGGAACTACAGGCATGCATCACCACACCTGGCTAATTTTTCTTGATTTATCATAGAGATGAGGTCTCTCCAAGTTGCCTGGGCCGGTCTTGAACCCCTGGGCTCAGTCAGTCCTCTTGTCTTGGCCTCCAAAGTGCTGGGATTACAGGTGTGAACCACTGCGCCCAGCCAGTGAAGAAGTCTTAAATTGTCAGTTGAGTGGCCTCAGGGTGGGAAAGATGAAGTTGTAGGAGAGACAAGGGCACAGTGTCCTGTGCCCTGTCATTTAATACTTGTAGCTAAAAGAAGTGATGGCTTTCCTCTTGAGGTTACAGCACTTTGTTAAGTTTTAGTTTAAGCCCGTTTGGTCTTTAGTCTTAATTCACTGCCATCTCCTTTCTCTCTCTTAGGTAACTTTAAGCCAGGTGTGTATGCGGTATCAGTCACTGGTCGTCTGCCTCAAGGTAATAATAATCTTATAATAGCCAGTGTTCATTTACTGTACAAAGCTCTGCAGAAAAACTTTATCTAAATTAATGCCAATCTTCACAACTCTATGAGGTTCTGCATTTTACTCATGTGGGAACCAAGGCACAAAGAGGTTTTTGTTTTTATTTTTTTAGAGATGAGGTCTTGCTATATTGCACAGGCTGGACTTGAACTTTTGGGCTCAAATGATTCTCCCACCTCAGCCTCCTGAGTGGCTGGGACTGCAGGTGCGCACCACTGTGGCTGTGGTCTAGAACCTTTGCTTTTGATGACTACATGTCCCTCTGTTTTTTTTCTCATTCTTACCAAGTCATTGTTTGCCACACACTTGCCTGGATCTTCAGTGGTCACTAGCCAGCCAAGCAGGACTTCTGATGAGCAATCTAGGAACGCCAGTGTGCTTATAGCCCCACCCCTATCCCCACCCCTGAGGTGGCAGCTGAGAGGACTGTCTTATCCTTCTGAACCTTCCCTCATGAAACTGTTTCTTTTCCTGCCACAGGAATCGTGCGAGAGCTGAAAAGTCGAGGCGTGGCCTACAAGTCCAGAGACACAGCTATAAAGACCTAGCAAGGTGCAGGGCTGCCAGCGTCTTCGTTCTCCACTTCTTGCCTCTGCTTACTTTTATTGTGGAACTCAATGGGCAGAACTTGAAATACTGCCACCTTCCAGCTCTGAGACTCAGCCAGCTGTTGAGAGAGCAACCCATCATGTCCCTGAGCCATTTTATCTTCTTTGGACTACTGTGGGGGTGGGAGGGATTTGGGTTGCTGGATTAACATAGACTGAATTGAAGGGAGAGGAGGATGCTGGTTTTCCTGCCCATGACCCAGGGCCGTTACATGCCCACTGGTAGGACTCTAGATTCAATGCCAATAAATATGAACCTCTAGAACATTCTTGAGGCCATGACACATGCCCTGCCTCACTCTCCATTTCTTGTAGCTAGGCGCAGGAAGAGCCTATGCCCTGTAAGCACCTTCCCAGAGCTCTGAGGCTCCCTGTGCCTTTCTCTGTTCCTCCAGGGCTGCACCCTTTCTGATGTGCTTCCTTGGCTTGCCTTGAAAGGTATGCTGTCCCGAGGTTAGGACCCCAGCAGCTTGGCAGTTCTGGTGTCTAGTGGTTGTATCCTACCCTCTGGACCTGGCACAGCAGTGTTTCTTGAAGAAATCCTAGAGCTTTTTCATGCCCTTTGCCCCTTGACCATATTTAGTATTTCTTTTTTCTCCCTCATCTGTTTTCTTTTTACTGCCCTTCCTATACCTTAGGAAGTCCCACTTACATTCTCCTAACTGGCAATGCGCAGGCCTCAGGTGACCTCTGGGTCTTGGTCTGCCTTGTTTGTGCCTCCATAGGAGGTAGCCCTTCCTTTTCTCCTCTGGCCTAGTAGGGAGCCCTGGGTAATGTTACAGTTTGACCAAGTCATTTGTTTTAGAATTAGAAATTCACATAAATTCTCATTCACGTAAATTTCCACAGAAATCCTGTTAGTAGCCCCATTTTGATTTCCCTGTTTCTTGTTCTCCATCTGTAAAGAGGAAATTATTATACCCTGTCTGTTCACCTCAGGATTGTTGTGATTATAGAAATGAAGTAATGTGAAATTTTAGAAATCTTACGAAAGGTGACGTTCATTGACTCCCCTTTGTTAGCCGTTTTTCAGTATATAAAATACGTACACAGGCAGACAAAATAGTGGGGGGAATGCCCAGGACCACAACTGCAGGGTGAGCGCTGAGTGGATGGCACAGTGCCTGAGTCCAGGCTCTCTGTCTCTTAGCTATCTGGTGTTGCTGTTGAATCAGCCTCCCCTGTTACCTGTGGCTTGGTGTGTGGGGGAAGAAGGGGAGATGATGACCTGACTCTCCAGTCTACCCTCTCTTGTCCTCTCAGGCCTGTGGGGAGGAAGCAGGGACTGGTCAAGCTGCTCATGTCCACTGATGGATCCTTCTTAGACCAGAACTGTTTTCTTTCGTGCCTTCGAGCTCTAGGGAGTAGGTGAGATAGTCCCAATTCCAAAACCGAAGGGTTTCCCAGCCTAGCAAATCGAAAGAGCTACATGGGTGGTAATGTCTGCTGTTCAATTTCTATCTGAATGCAGTCCCTCCAGGCTAGAGCTTATGTCTTGGAGGAAAGAAATGGGTTTCACCAAGAGTGCCTAGGCCGTGCTGTCAACACCCAACTTTCACTGGCTTTCTCAAAAAGCCCCTTGGAAAGCCCCAGCTGCTGTCCTGGGTGTCTGACCCGGACGTGGCTGCCTGGTGAGAATGGAAACAGTTGTGGGGAGGGGAAGCAAGAGGAGCTTGCACAAATAACCACACTCAGGCTGCCTTAGCCCCATGCTAAGCTGGGCCCTAACTGACACAGTCTCACAGGAAGCGAAAGACAGGCACGAATGGTTATGGGGGAGGGGTGGCCTGTGGCCCTACCTGGATTCCATAGACTCAAGTGGCTGTGTTGGGGAGCTGCTTCTGAATTCACTTTACCTTCTCTGGCAATTGAACCTGCATTTGGTGCCACTTAGCAGCCAAGACAGGCAGGAAGGTGCTGATGTCCCATCCCCTACTGGGAACCCAAAGAAGCTAAGACTGGGACTTGGCTCAAGGCTCTCGGAAAGTGAGCGGTGCTGGGACTGCTGTCCTGCTTTCCACAGCTATGAGGGCTGTGTCCTGCCTACTGTGACTGTCCAAGTTTGAGCCCCAGTCTCATGCTAAGGTTCTGAGTCTGCCCAGCCTCATGGGATCTCTCCTTGGTCTTCTGCTCAGTAGTCTTGCTTCTCTTTCGAAAGGGAAAGGCTACTCCCTAGTTCAACAAGGATGCACTCAAGTTGGAGGAGGAACAGTAGCCAGGCTGCCTTCTTACCTAGTCCTCATTCTGCACACCCTACCCACCACATGCTCTGGGGTAGGGTCCCCCAAACTGAGGGACTAAGTGACTACATTGATGAATGCAGTCTCCAGCCCAAGAAGCATCTGGTAGTTGATAGAGCAAGGGTTCTGGTCTTGGAGAGCAGCACTTTCCACAGGAATAATGATGATACCTAAATGCAGGCTGGTCTCACCAGGTTTGAACACTGAGACTTTGCTCTTGATATGCCCACTATCTTGTTACTCGCCTGTCTACAAACTCCTACTCGATCTTCATGTCGCCTTCCTGACATCTGATCTCTGTGTGTATAAAGGAGGCAGGTAGGTAATGTATAAAAACAGACCGATAAGAACTTTGGAAGTCTGGTTCATGTTTGGTATCAGCAAAACCTTTCATAAAAATAGCATTTTACAGTTGACAAAGGGCTTTCACATCCATTGTCTCTTTTTTATTTTTTTGAGTTAGAGTCTCCCTCTGTCACCCAGGCTGGAGGGCAGTGGCATGCTCATGGCCGCTGTAGCCTCGACCTGCCTGGCTCTGGCAATCCTTCTGCCTCAGCCTTCCAAGTAGCCGGAACTACAAGCATGCGCCACCATGCCCGGCTAAACATCTGTTATCTCATTTGGTCTTCACAAAACAGATAACATCCTTATTTTGTGATGAGGAGACTGATGGTCAGAGAGTTAAAGTAACTTGTCCCTGCTCAAGTAGTGGAGCCTTAGCTCAAGAAATAAAATGTCCACACCCAGTTTAGGGCTGCTAGTTGTTGCTGACAGTTGTTCCCAAACTGCAAGTTTTGCATCCTTCGTGAGTGTTCACAAAACCAGTGAGGCAGTGGTTCTGTTGAGTGAAGTTACAACCTGTTGTCCCTACACATGTAACCCCACCAACCACTCTAGTTCCCGTGTCTAAAATTAGCCAGGGAGGCGGGGAATAGCCAGGAGGAGATCCTTGGGATTTACTTCAGGATCCCGTGCAGAGCACTGGGAAACCAGTCCAGCCCTTCCCCAGTTCCCCTGGCTGCATCTTCTGTTCCACTCCAGCAGCTCTGAGGTGACTGCTGACGTGTGCTCCACACGTCATATCCTCTCCTTTTTCCTCTTCACCTCCCTCGGTTTGTAGCCTGACGATGGCACCATCACACCCCTCTGAAACACTGAGACTCTTGTGTGATGGAAATACATGTATCCAATAAATGTACTGTAATCCTGGCATTTTGGGAGGTGGAGGCAAAAGGATTGCCTGAGCCTGGGGGTTTAAGACCAGCCTGGGCAACTTGGTGAGACCTTATCTCTACAATAAATCAAAAAATTAGCTGGGCGTGGTGGTACACACCTATAATTCCGCTACTTGGAAGTCTGAGGTGGGAAGGATCATCTGACCCTAGCAGGCCAAGGCTTTGTTGACCATGAGTGTGCCACTGCTTTCCAGCCTGGGCAGCAGAGTGGAACTCCAACTCAAAAATAAATAAAATAAATAATAAAATGTTTGCTTAAAGATGCAGTTGGTGGTCCCTGTCTTAGAGTAGTTGTAAGAATCAGACACATTAGCTTAGGTAAAAGTAATTTGAGAGCTATAAACTGCTGAGTTTTTGTAAGCGATTGTCACCATCTGAAGTTGTTCACTTCCAGTTAAGTTCTAGATAGATTTGGTAAGAATTTCATCCTTCTTGCATTGTTGTGTAACTGGTGTTCTAATACATCTATGGTACATAAGTAAAATATTTTCCTTCAAGCACCAAGGCTTTCTTACTTTAATGCTTCTATTCCCATTTTTTGTGAAGTAAATTTTTATTTTTAAGACAGGGTCTTGCTGTGTTGCCCAGGCTGACTTTGAACTCAAAAGATCCTCCCACCTTAGGTTCCCAAGTAGCTGGGACTACAGGCATTTGCCACTGTGCCTGTTTTAAATTTTTAACAATGTATTATATATTTTCTGCTATACAAGATTCTGAATGTGATTTACCCTGTACCTGGCTCAAAGTCATTGTTAATAACCCCCCCATCTTTGTATTATGTGGTGAAATGGTTCTGGGACTGATTATTTCTCTACTTCTTGGATTCATATCAGCCTGTCAGCTATCACTTCTGTTGCTTACGTGTAGCTGTTCCCCTTCCAGTCTTGTCTGAACTCAGAGAACAGACAGCCATACTTGGTAAAAATTGCTATAGGGTGAGCCAGGAAGGCTTAGATTGAGACGAGCACATGGCTGCCTGCCTGGCCCTTGGGGTTTCAAGGTCTTCGCCAGTGTGAGGGTGAGGTCCAGAGTTTCTAGGCTGCAGGACAAGTGAAGGCAGACTAACATCAGAACCGGGAGAATCGTGACTTACTTAGGCCACCCCCTCACTTTATGGGTGAGAGAGCTGAGCCTCAGAGACAGCAGTCAGCTTGACCTCAAGAGGAGTCTGCTACCTCATATGTCCTGTACTGCCTGGCTCAGTGCCTATTGTTTAAAGATGTTGCTTGGCTTTGCTTGAAGACCTCAGAAAGTGGAAACTAAGTGTAGGGCTAACTCTGCCCTGTGCTGCTGGCCCTGAGATGGTAGCTCCTCTGGAAATAGGATGGAAAGCATCTCCCCTCTAGGCGTTTCTCCCTCCACCCCTCACCCCCTTCTCAACGCGTCCCTTTGGATAGAGGGCAGGCATTGTGGTGTCACGGACAGAGAACTTGAAGTCAAGGAGCTTTTTCTAGGGGTTCCATCCATGGCAGATGGAGGCCTGGACCTGTAAGAAGTTGGAGCTGTAAGAAGTCAGAAAGCCAGCAAGCCCATTCCGCGAGTTCCAGTGCTGCTTCCTGCCTGTGTTCTCTCCTATGTGCAAACTGAACTCTTGTGCTACAAAACAGTTTGAGGGAAGGAAAAGAACAGCTTCTGAGAGCAGAGTAGGGGGACCCCGGCTTCTTCCCCAAACCCAGCAACTACCACCCTTTTTAGCCCCTTTCCCTGTCCCGGAAAATACCTGGGAGGAAGTGAGTGCTCTGAGGCCACTAGCGGGAAGTGGGGGTTTAACTGTCATCTCATCCCTGGGGGCTTTTAGTAGCAGAAGGCAGAGGGGGAAATGCAAATCCATGCTTGAGTGGGAGAACTCCTGAGAGGGAGGGTGTGACAGCCAATCGCCTGACCTTCTTCCTGGGCTGGTGGTCCCAGCATGGACTGGGGAGGCCTGAGGAGTGATCACAGGCCCTGGAACAAGCCAGCAGCCACCCCATCCTGTGCAGGCAGCTACAACACTTTCTCTGGGCAGCTGAGTAGACTCACTTCCTCACCCCTGAGCCCCAGAGAAGCAGGGGGATGAAGGGCGGGGTCTCGGGAGGAGGGGTGGGGCATGGTCTGGTTGGAGTGGCAGGGGAGAAGGTAAGGAGATGGGGAAGGTGAGGAGGCAAAGATGAAGTCGAGGCAGGCGTGTCCCTGGGGAATGACCTTAGGAGGGCATTCTATTCTGTCTTTGCAGCAGGAGGGACTAAGCTTATATTCAGAGGATCCCTGTGGCCGCTGCACCTCTCCTACCCCATTATACAGGCCAGAATTGAGAACCACATGATGTCCTTGAAGAGGGATCCTTCACAGCCACTGGAAACAAGAATTTAAGAAGGCTTTGGTCTTGTGCTTTTACAATAATGATCTATTATATCAATAGAGCAATTTCCAGGTTCAAAACTGGTCACTTCCATTATTGCATCTGACCCTCAGTGCCATCCCGTGAGGCTTTATTATTCCCCTTTCACAGATAAGAAAACTGAGTTTCTGTTACA